TGTTTACTTTCTTCTCCAGCACTGGCCACCATACCACTACCCCGTACAGAAGTATGGGCCTCACCACGACGGTGTATATCCAGTGCACTAGCTTCGGGGTTAAACCCCATTTTTGGCCGATTGCTCTCCTGCAGCTGTATAGGGCAACCGTGGCCTTCCGCACCCGCTCTTCGGTGTTTTGAATCCAGCTTAGTTTTCTATCTAGGACTATCCCCAGGTATTTAGCGGATTCGCTTAATTTTAGTGTGGTCTGTGCCAGCCTTGGTGTTATCAATGGGGGGATTTTGTACCTTCTTGTGAACAGTACAAGTTCTGTCTTGCTTGGGTTTACCCCTAGCCCGTTATTTTTTGTCCAACTCTCGACTTCCTTCAGTTTTACCTGCATAATGTCACATAGAGTCTGTGGAAATTTCCCACTTACTGTTAGTGCAAGATCATCCGCATACGCAATAACCTTACAGCCACCCCCCTCCATGCCACACAGCAGTGAGTTTACCGCTGCGACCCATAAAAGAGGGGATAGGACTCCCCCTTGCGGGGTGCCCCTCTCTACGAACCTGGTCAACGATACCCCCGCCAGCTCCGCCCGGACCACCCTGCATCGCAGCATTTGGTTTACGAGCGCAACTAAGCGCGAGTCGATGCCCAGGCCCGCCAGTGCTGCCGTTATCGCGCCCGGCATGATGTTGTTAAAGGCGCCCTCTATATCCAGGAAGGCTGCTAGCGTATATTCTTTGATGTCTAGTGATCTCTCTATATACGACACTATTTCATGTAGCGCCGTTTCTGTAGATCTACCTTTCGTATAAGCATGTTGTGTGGTAGAGAGTCTGTCACCAACCGACTCTCTGATACGGACCTCCACCAGTCTCTCCATAACCTTCAGTTGAAATGACGACAAGGTGATGGGCCTGAAATCCTTTGGGTTATTGTGAGACACCTTCCCTGCCTTGGGGATGAACACCACTCCTGATTCCCTCCACTTTCTAGGGATATGGTTAAGAGCTAATACTCCCCTAATTATAGCGTGTAGCCACGCTGAGCTTAGCTGAAGTGTTTGCTGCAGCTGTATGGGGGCAATGCCATCCGGACCTGCTGATTTATAGGGCTTAAATGTCCCAATAGACCAGATGACCTTTTCCCTAGTGAGGAAATCTCCAGTGACCGAAAGATCTCCAGTTAGATGTGGCTGTACCGGCATGCTATCCGTGGCACCCGGGAAGTGTGTGCAAAGAAGCAGATCCAGTGATTCCTCCTCGGTCTCTGTCCAGGAGCCGTCAGGTCTTTGCAAGCATCCTGGGGCTTTCTGGGCAGTACCTGAGAGTATCTTTCTGAGCCTGCCTGCCTCTGAGATAGACTCCACCCCATTGCAGAAGTCTTTCCATGAGGTTCTTTTCGACCTTCTTAGGAGCTTCTTGTACTCCCGTAACGCTGTCTTGTAGGTCTCCCAATGTCCCTCACTACCAGACGCAGTAGCCTGATTGAAGGTTTTCCTGCAGTTCTTGCGTGAAATCCTGATTTCTTCATTCCACCAGGGTGGCTTTTTCCTACCCCGGTGCTGCTTTTTGGGGCATGCAATGTCTATTGCCTTTCTGCAGGCCCCCGTAAAATGGTCGACAAGATATTCCAGCTCCTCTAGGTTTGCTGGAGTAGCCGGCTCTCTATCTTGTGGCAAAAGCCTATCCAGCTCTTTCCGATACCTATGCCAGTTGGCATTTCGCAAGTTTCTAGTTAGAGGAGCCTTGGGCGTTTCCCCTAATACCTCGAATTGGATATATCGGTGGTCGGAAAAGGAGTGCTCCTCAAGCACCTTCCACTTCCCGACCAGACATTCCGCATTCTCAGAGATAAGGGTAACGTCCAGAACTTCCCTTCGGGATTTTGTAATAAAAGTGGGATCATTCCCCCTATTCGCAATAACAAGCTTAGAACTAAGTATGAAATCAAAAAGTGACTCACCCCGTTCGTTATCATCGGAGCTGCCCCAGGTGTGATGGTGGGCATTCGCGTCACCTCCCAAAATTAGCGCCTCTCTCGTGCTGGCCACTAGGTCTTTAATGCAGGTAGTTGGCACCTCCTTGTCATGCGCTAGGTACATGGATGCCATCTTAATTGGTCGTCCGTTTGCACTTAGACTGACCGCTGTTGTGTCCTCGTCGCTAAATTGTGGAAGAAAGAGACACTTTAGTGTGATACTTATCAATATGCACGTCCTTGGTTTCCCCGTTGAGGCTCCACTTACCAGTCTGTAGCCCGGCGCTTTCAGCCCACAAATGTTTTGTCCCACCACCCAAGGTTCTTGGATTAGGACGATGTCGGCTGCCCCTTTAGCTGTTAGACGGAGCAGCAGTGCAGCTGAAGCTGCTTTACAGTGGTGAAGGTTAATCTGCAGTACCTTCACCATCTTGGCCGTTATCGCCCACGTCGCCTATTAGGGTGGAGTTGACCGCGTCTTCCGACATCTCGATCAACTCCTCCTCCGTATAAAGCCGAAGCATGCGTCCGACCCCCAGCGAAGACGTCGATGAGGCATAACCCCCGGTCAGGTCGTCCATCGGATCAACCTGCTCGGATTCTTCCTCCATCTCCACGTCGCTGTTGGCCTCTTCCGGCTCTACCTCCGCGATCAGGTTCCTCGCTGCGTTTACGTCGTTGCTGTAGACCTTAATTTTGGCCATGTCACAGCCGTAACGTATGACCCCGCTCTTTTGCTGCAACAACTCTATGGAGTCCTTATTTAGAAGCAGGACAACCTGCATCGTCGCTTTACCGCTTTCGTTGATTTTGACCACCTTCCAATTATCGGTAGGTAGCTCCGGATTATAGAGCCTTATGGTTTGGAGGATCCTTTCTGGCTCCGCTGGCTTGCATGCTCTCGCTCTCGGTCGCACCGGTAGGTCCTTGAAGTCGACCGCCCTGAGCTTCGCACCAGGGTAGACTTCTCCAATACCTGCAACTGTTTTCTTGTAGATCTCCGCTGATCTGGCATCCTCGCATGCTATAACGCGGATGTTATTTTGGAACCACCCCGCTCCCTTGCAGGTTGGCGGAGGTCCCGGATTCTCCAACATAATGTTGATAGCAATGTCGGCCATCGCGGCCTTAACCCACTTCCATTGCTGCCTCAGGGTGAGGCTGTCTTCATTGCTCTCATCGATGACGCCGAGCAGGATCTGCTCCTTGGCTACTTCAGCAAAAGAAGGCCCCTGCGTTCTGACCCTCTTTGCGTATTGGTTGGGCGTATTTTCCCCCGATCTATTGCGCTTACTGGAGGGCGCCTGCGGCTGCTTCTCCTCCGGCTTGCGGTATTCGGGCAGGACTGCCTTTGCCCAGTCGATTTCTGTGAGGATCTCCTTCACATGCTCTTCTTTCGCCTTGCTACACAGGTCAGGCGTTGCGGTGAACCTTTGCAGGATTCGAGCAGCCAGCTTCCTCTGCCGATAGCCCGCTGCAGCTGGTTCTGGCCTCTGGTCAGGCCTCGTGAAGGCCGTGGGTGTCGCGGGAGGACCGCCCGGGGCCTGCGCCCCAGATTCAGCCTTATCCCCGGCTGCAATCTGCATGCCAGGTTGGCGTCCACTGGTGCCAGGAGTTTCCCGGGGTGGACTCCTTTGAGCAGCCCCACCGCCACTTTCCATCGTTTTTGCGAGAGCTTGGCCCGGTTTCACCATTGGCCTTGGTTTCCCGCTATTTGTCACCGCACTACGGCTGGTGGAGGTACTCTGCATCGCTTGAGCTCCTTGTTTAGTGGGCCGAGACCCTTCCGACGCTTTAAGGGGGCCGGTCCCTTTAAACATTGTTTTTGATGTTGTTGTTGCTGTTTTTGTTGTTGTTGTTGTTAATTGTTTCTTTTCCATAATAGATCCCACGGGCTGCGGAGAAAAGGGGGGTTCGTCCACCCGGGCAGAGATCCGCGATGCCCAGGTAAGGCCTACTTACATCCTGGGTGTGGCCGCCTCCCAGAGGGCTCCGTTCGCGACTGGGCTATTTAGGGGCCCCCAGCCTGGCCGATCCTCGGTACGGTGCGCGTGACGCCTTGATCCAGCCCCTTCAGACCTCCAAGCCACGATCAGAAACCATTTCCATATGACTACGCTATTAAGGAGTTTAGCACATAGCACTGATTCCTGATCTTAGCTGAGCACCATTCTGACATCGCACAGAATCCTCTGTAGTGCCCATTACCAGTCAGCACCCTCGTGGAGGGTTCAGCCGGAGGATTTTTTGCCGACCAAGACACTGGAATAAAAACGAAGCAAATCCGTTGAGCCGTTCTTGAATGATGCGATAACACATTAAAGCAATTCATTTTTATATATAAATTTTTTTCGAATGCTGGCAACCCTATCAAGATTTTTTTTCGATATAATTTTTTAATACGTTCCCAATTAAATAGCCTTATTGCGGCTTATTTGTAATTATTATTATTTTTTCTGATATTGTAAATATCTGGCAACACCACTATTTCAATTTTCTCTTTACAAAACTTCTACAGACTTAAAGACACAAAATGAAATAAAAACGAAGCATTTCCGTTGAGCCGATCTTGAGTTATGCGATAACACATGAACAGCAATGCATCTAATATATAAAAATCTCGTGTCATGGTGTTAGTGGTCGAACTCCTCCTAAACGGCTCAACCGATCTTTATGAATTTTTTTGTGTATATATGCTAGGTATGAGAATCGGATATCGGAAAAGAATATTTCTTATTGCTAGGTGCAGGGGGCGTGGCACCTCCCATACAAACCGAATTGTTCATATTTTTTGTTATTTGATTGACTGGAACTTGGTATGGAGATATATGAAATCAATCGTATAGTCATGAAGAAAAATTGGGGCTATCAGAAAAAGCGGCGTGACACCTCATTTCATATTTTGAACCTATATTACTTAAATGGAAAGAAATAAGTGTACAAAAAATTTAGTTGTTAGGTGGTGTTGCAGTCGATTTTTCGTTTTAAAACCTTTGTTTTAATTATTTACTTGTTTGCATCTGTATTTAATTTTTTCCCGCCAATTGTCTATGCACTTTTGGAACATAGTCATCCCATTGCGCTTGAAAAAAATTACCAGCAATGGGGTCACCCAATTTGTGCTTCTTTGCAAATTTATCCGTACTAAAGTTTGGTCGATTCTGGCTACTGTTTTTCGGTATACGAGACTCTTGAAATCGTATTTTAACTGGTTGCTGGTAAACCAAGAAAATATATCTATGTAATCCAGTGCCTTGTGGCGGTCCAGAACCTACATAAGCAGTTAATTCGTCACCTTTGCTTATATCTGATCCTGGTATATTGGCGACCAACCAATGCTGGAATTCGCGAAATTTGGGGTCTTTGCGACTGGGCGCATCTGGGTCGGTCATTATAAGGGTATAAAGTGAATCACTTTTGGCATCCCATGCGACAGTGGGACGTGTCGCTACCTGTGTCGGTGTTAATTCAATACCATTTTCAGCCAATACGTCTTTATAGGTGATCTAGAATGGAATCAATTATTTTATTATTTTTTTTGTATGAATATACGGATATGTTAAAAAAACACAAGTGAACGAAAACTGCCACTACGCGAAATCAAACTAAATTTTGCAAGAGAATGTCTTTTCTATTTTTCTGAGTCTTTTTCCTTGATATGTGGCCTTTCATTAGATTTATTGCATTTTTTATGATGTTATGCCATGTCCATGACTGTGTAATATACATCGTACCTAATACCCTGCCGAAAGAATCAATAAGTATAAAGAAAATATTTAAAAACCTTCAGAAAATGCTTTGGTGCTAGAGCAATCACATCAGGCACAACTTTATGCTGCTTGAAAATCACTTCAGTACCGCTCGAAGTTGACGCTGTAGCCATGGGTGCACTGCAAGACACGTCTGGGATTAAAATAAGTTGGATGATTTCAATGTGAAAATTCCAGTTTTGAGATTTCAGTTGTTGTTTTGTAACTCTTCCTTACAGTGAGTTTAGAAACTTCAAAAATATATATTTTTCCTTTGACAGTAAGTTATCAAAAAACGTTTTTAAAACAAACGTGCAGGGATTGGGACTACAAACTTTTCACAAAAACACTTAAGTGATTTTAAAAGCTCTGACTTTAGAGGGAGACCATCTGATACGAGGCCATGATAGGAGGTATACACGAACACCAGCCTATGCAGAGCAATATTCATTTCTTTACAAATGATGTGAGGAAAGTATCGAAATGTACTTTTAGTTTTTCCGTAAACACGGCATTGACTCATTTAGTGCAATGAAAATTTTTTCTTTTGATTTCATACGGATGCGCGATATTTACTGGTTGACTATTTAAAAAAACTAGTATCGCCCAGTTTTCATACACTTTTGAATTTTACCTGTCACCAATATTAACTCATTTATGCGAATTACTATTTTGAAGCCCACCAGCATAATTTGTAGCGGAGTTTTAGGAAAATTTAAAATCGAGTTATGAGTATGAGTTCTTCAATTGCTTTTGAAATAAGATCAAAAAAGGAACCCTGATTTTAATTTATAAAAAATATGCGTATGCATTTGTATGTATAGATGAGATGTTCGTCACTAACTAATATGCCAAACATATACCAATTCAGACTGTAAATAAGTTTTTCGATTATATTCGTCTGAGAGCCTCTTGGAGGTTAAAAACTAAATTGCCCACATCTACATAAACTCTTTATTTTTTTTTTCATCAGAATCGTTAACGGTTGTGAAAGTATCTTAAAGGTTTACAACAAAAGATTATATTTCCTTCTCTAACGGCGGTTTCACATAGGTTTTTGTCAAGACTGGGCCAAAGCCCAATATTTTTTCATCACACGACTGGGCTACCAAGTTACACCAAATTTTATGTTACTAAGCTGTGTTCTAAAAGTGAAACAAATCTGATCATAAATATGATTTTTAGGATACCTCTCAATCCCTGCCCCACTTGTCGGAAGCCAAATACACTGACCCTTCTAAAAACTTTTGCCTAAAACAACAATCATTCAATGCGATTTTAAAATCTGAGAGAAAATGGTTCCCAATTGAATGATTCTTGTGATTTTATATGTGTAGGTGTATAAAATTCCATTACCTTATAACAAATGGTTCCAGAGATAACCGATATGATAATTTCAGTTTGTATGAGCGGTGCCAAGCCCCCTTTTCCAAAATCTACCTCTCTTCGCCATAAGTACGGTATTGACAACATATGTTGCTGTGTCAAATTTCGGGACGTTAGTATAAGCGGTTCCAGAGATAAGTGATGGGAATTGCAGTGTCGGAGACACAGCCGCTAAACTTAAACGCAGATGACGTTATATTTATTATTAAGATCACATTCAAGTTTAAAACGGTACACGAAATATTCGGTCTGATTGTATTGGATTGAATTTAATAAATCAATATGAATTGCCTAATATTAATACTTAGCAATAGAGAAGCAGATCCACATTAACTTCAATCATATGTACCACCAGCTTGCGTCTGATATTGTGATACCTACATATTTCGTGTACCTGATGAATTAAGTTAAACTTTGTTTCTTTAAACTCGTGACAACGCTCCCAAATACAGTTCAGAAATAAAGTTTTTTAAACCCATTTCAATTGATACCCATATTTTTAATAATTGCTTTCACTAATTAAATAATTTGCGTCTACCTTTTTAAACAGGTGGCAACCCTTTTTAATATTATTAATATTTAAACTAAGGATATCTTACCACCTTCGTTTCACGTCTTCTTCTTCTTCTTCTTATTTGGCGCTGTAACCGCCTAGGCGATTTTGGCCGAGTTCAGCAAAGCACGCCAGTCGTTTCTCTTCTGTGCCAACTAACGCCAATTGGAAACGCCAAGCGAAGCCAAGTCCTTCTCCACCTGATCTGTCCATCGCAGTGGGGGCCTCCCTCTTCCTATGCTACCACCAGCGGGTTCCGAGTTGAATACTTTCAGAGCTGGAGCGTCGGTGTCCATTCGAACGACATGACCAAGCCAGCGGAGCCGCTGTATTTTGATTCGCTGCACCATGTCCATGTCGTTGTAAAGCTCACACAGCTCATCGTTCCATCGTCTGCGGTACTCGTACCCGTAAATCTTCCGCAAAATCTTTCCCTCGAATACTCCAAGAGCCGCCTTATCGGATGTTGTCATTGTCCATGCTTCTGCGCCATATACCAGGACGGGCATGATGAGTGACTTATAGAGCGTGGTTTTCGTACGTCTAGAGGGGACTTTACTCCTGATTTTCCTACTCAGTCCAAAGTAGCTGAAATTATTATCGATGTTAATGCTGGTTCCCAAGTAAACGAAATTCTCTACTTTCCCTTTCTCGAAGGGAGTCGCCCTGTCTGAAACCCCGTTTAGTGGCAAACGGCTTAGAGAGGTCTTTCCCAATTCTGACGGAGCTGGTGGTGGAGTAGGTGGTGAGTGTAGATTCTTTTCTCGCGGGTCTTTTCCAAGATTTGGCGTATTGTGAATATCTGGTCTATGGTGGATTTTCCAGGCCTAAAGCCACACTGATAAGATCCAATCAGCTCATTGACGGTGGGCTTCAGTCTTTCACACAATACGCTCGATAAGAACTTGTAACCTATGCTTAGAAGGCTGATCCCGCGGTAGTTGGCGCGACTGGCGTGGTCGAATTTCTTGTGGATTGGCATACGTTCATCTGACCATATTCTGCACAAGAGTTGATACATGCACCTTACTAACTCCTCGCCACCGTACTTGAATAGCGGAGGGGGTCTCATCCGCGGCTTTGCCTTGCTTCTTCACTGGAAGTGGATTTTACGTGACGGGTCCCAAACCCAGCGCACAACCCATTGCTGGGACGGGGGTGGTTTCGCAACCAAATACACCTTTATATAGCGAGCAGCTTGCTCCAAGCAGACAACTGCTTGCAGCCGCACCTACTGGTGAACAGACGCTGCAGACTTCAGTGAGCCCTTAAACCGAATAAGTCGGAGTGGCCCCACCGAAGCTCCCTCTCTTTCTGCCGTGACCCAAGGCTCCACTCGGATTAGTTACTGCATCTTACACGTGGGTTGCTCACGTTGCCCAGAGTGCCCGAACGAGGACGCAAGAGTCCGGATTGAGTATAGCCGTGTAACTGTGACTGCATACCCAGCACAACGGCTACACTCCATTGCACTCCAAGTCCTGACCTTGGTTCGTCCACGTTGGGGAACTCCACGTATATGTTTTAGAGCCAAAGTGGGGTTCACGGCTGTTTTTTGTACAAAGAGATGGGGTGAGACGGCTCCCTCCTGACAGGACTGGGTTTGTACCGCTTTTCTTTTTCCCGCAGTGTTGGCTCTCGTTTCCATTTCCTCTATTTGGCATGAATCTTTTTTTATGGCAGTGGGCTGAAGAGAACGGCTGACGAGCTAAATCCGGGCTACAACCATGCCGACCCGCCGGGACTCCAGTTCAGTACAAGCAGTTCCATAACAAAATATTAGTAATCTGTGTTCTAAATAGGGACACTAACCTTTGTCTTGAATTTCCATTACAGATTTGCTTGAATGAATTCCGCGTTTTTCATAAAATAAATATAAAAGTCAGAAGTATTGAGTCACTGAAAACACGATTCACAATGAAAATATGTGTTTGTCAACTTTCGAGAGTGAGGAAGTAATCTAAAAAGTTTTTTATCGCGAAAAAATCACACTGTAATGAAGTACCTGCAATAATGACCGATTGCCTGTCAATTAATCACAGGTTAGACAATGTGCAAATTTTTTGCATTGGCATAATTATGCACATCGCAATTAGAAAAACAGCTGACAATAGTTTTGTCTCATTTAAGCAATAGTTTGTAATATTTTGTAACAAGAGTTATTGTTACGAATTATCATGTCTTGGTTGGCAAAAAAGTTATAAAATAAGATAAATTGAGATAGTAAAATAACAATTGATTTTTAGATAAAGTTTGGAAGTTTCTGCGGGATAAATTTTTACTTGTAAATATTTTCCACCAAAATAAAAATTATTTTACTAAAGTTACATAAAACACCAAGCTACTTCCATGGTTGCACTTTTTGTTCTTTTGTATCTTCTCATATGAGAGAAATTCTCAGAATTTTAAGTTACTTGTAAGTTACTGTATTATGGCTATTTTCGCTTAATGCCCAAGAGGCAACCTCAGGTTAATGATGTTTAATTGACGTGGAATAATTGCTAACACTGTGCAGTTTAAATTATAGCGTTATTGTAAACTATTAAAATTAACATTGTACATATTTATATATGTAGGTATGTTTGTGTGATACGTATACAGATATTTACGTAAAATAATATGTAGTCCAACAACAAAAAACCTGCTCACACAATTTTACAATTCCAATTACATATAGTGGGTGTTATGGCAGCTTAATAGGGTACGTATACTACCCACTACATATGTATATACATATATGCAAGGATGCACGTTAATTCATGTCATGTTAAAAAGCCGAAAGGAGAAAGTGAACCATTTATATTTATTATATATGTTGGCCAATTTATTCATAGTTTTAGTAGCAAAAGTATGAAAAGCTGACTTTTTTTTTACAAATTGACTAAAAAATAATCTTCCTTTTGATTGCCGCTAAATGTAAAGCCCAAACAACAATAAAGCAGTGGCAGTGGAAGTGGTAGTGACAGGTTTTAAAGTCAGCTGTTACTGTTACGGCGTTGTCAGTGGCCAAGGAGTATTTAACAAGGTGGTGTTGGGACGACAGCTGAGTTTTCGCCGTGTAGGGCATTACGTCAAAATGATGTGTTTGTTGTAACTCATGTATGGATATCTGCGTATAATTTGTTAGTGTAAATTTTTACTTATATACGGCTAACACCACCTTGTTAAATACGCCTTGTCAGTGATTGATTTATT